TCCCATATAGATGTGAAGACCATTGTTCAGGTTCCTTTGGAGACATAGCAGTTAAGATTTGAACTTTGGTCTTTCTCAATTTGAGTAGTTAGCCTCTAAGTTATAATTCTTGCTTAAGGTGGTAGGCAATGCCCAGGTACTAAACCACCTCCTCCGGGCCCTGTCAGGTGGAAGTGCTGGGAATGTTATGGGGGAGAAGGAGGATTTGCCACAGATGTGCATCTGAGGTGGGCCAGAGTGCCACTGAGCTGCCTGACCTTACTCTTGAATAACATTTGCATAAAACACTGCTGGTCTTCGGAATGTAACCACGTCAGTAAAGGAGGAGTGAGTATACTGTGCATATAGCTTTACTGATAAAGATAGCCACTTTCTTATGCAACAGTGAAGAGCGCAGTTTGAATTCCTACAAGACACAAAGTAATTTTTCCCCTAGTATACAATGTGTAGCAATTATTAAATGCCAGCAGAATACTTTATAAAGGTGATTAATATAACAATCCATTGGAATGAGTTCAGTAGTATATGCTATTTTGTTTGCTCATCCAAATAAGCCTTTATAAAAATATTGTTCATTTAAATATTAACCTCACAGGAGAAATAGGAAGGATTGATGTACTGAAATAAGTGATATACTTACTCTCCTTGTAGTGTTATATGTGGGAATATAGGTATAATATGCAAACTTTCAAATAAACTCTGGTGGCAAAGTGGTTAAGAGCTGGGATGCGAATCTGAAAGTTGGTGGTTCAAACCTGTCTAGTTGCTCCAAAGGAGAAAGATCTGATAATTTGCTGCTGTAAAAGGTTGCAACCTACACTATTGCATGGAGCATTTCTGCTCTGTCATATGTGGTTGCTACACGTTGGAATTGACTCTGACAATCAGTAACAACATGTGCATTTTCAGTATCTTAAATATAAAATACTTTTTATTGTTTATAATTTCAGGTAAAAATGCCTTATAATAAGTAAATAAATATCCATGAAATCATGTGAGTCACAGTCAGATAACCAAATAATCTGATGAGTCTAGATATATTACTTCCTGGTTTGTAAATTAAGTAGTTGGGGAAATGACATTAACTCTCTTAGATTTTCAGGATAATGTTTCCAGAATATTAAAACATTGTGGTTCAAAAAGTCTAACTCTGTTGATATTCCTGAGCAGAAACCAGGCTGTTCAGTTTAATTTTTACATGCATCCACTGACCCAAACCATGCCCACAGCCAGTGAGTGGATTCTGGCTCATTCCAAATCTGTAAATCTTAACCAGAGCAGACTTTCCATCTTTATTCTACAGAGTAACTGGTACCTTGGAATCCCTGGCCTTTCAGTCTACCCCATCCCGGGCTCCAACCCTGACCACATATTGTCTACATGCTGCTGGCTTTTGGTCCCACTGAAACATAGTGAATTTTTGAATGCAAATTCAACATCACTTTCAAAAAAGACAGTGCCCCCTCACAATAAATACCCTTTTGTTGGTAAATTGTGCAACTGCTCTTAGATAGCAACTGACATCAGAAATTTTGAAAACTCATATCGTGTCCTAGAGTTTGGCCTTTATTTGTTTCAATATTGTTCTACCTAAGTGTAAAACACACTGCTGGGACCCTTTTAATTTCTTTTTTTCCCATTGCATTTCTAAATAAAGACAATTCAAGTGAGAAACTACAGCACGTTGATTTTGTTCTCTGAGTTCTTGCACTGTAATTAGCTGAGTTGCGTTTTAAATGCAGCACAAGAACATCTTTCTTGTCTGTTTATGTCAGACAAAAAATGGCTAATGAGCACTTATCAAAATGATGAACATTTTTTCATTAGATTAAGTAAAATCAAAACAGATTTATAATGTACTATTATGTTTCAACTTGGAATAAATTGAGTGAAATAGCTAATATCTTCACAGCTTGTTGAGAATTTCTTTGCCTGGCAACACACACACACACACACACACACTGTTAGTGTGTGTGTGTGTGTGTGTGTGTGTGTGTGTGTGTGAAGAGAGAGAGAGACTGACTGAAGCAAATTGCCTATTTGTGACAACTTTCTTTGTGGACATTAGGTACATCCTAAAGGGTTTGAAATAACCTCAATGTTATTTCTAGGATATGAATATCCATAAAGTAGGTATCCAAGTTTATTTTCTTTGAATTTACCAGTGTACTTAGCTACTCAATACTACAGTAAATTTTTTCTTATAAGTGATTTTTTTCTTTATTATAACAGCCAGTTAACATGCCGTCAGCTCTTGTGGCTCAGGTAAGGAATTGCAATGCGAAGACAAAGTTATGTAGTCGGAATCCACAGACTGTGCTGTGGGAGAAAGATAAGCAATCTCCTCTTGTGCAATTTACAGCCTCTGGTAGGGTCAGCTATGAGTCGCATCCAACTTGGCAGCAGTAAGAGAGGTTTAGCACTATGAGACTTTCAGATTCTCCCTAGGTGTTTAGCCTCACAGCAGCTACTCTGTGTTGAGTCTTTTTTATCTTTCCATAGGTAACTTCATAGTACTCTGCCCCATCAGGTTTTTAATTGTCTATTTTTCAGAATAGATGCCAGATCTTTCTTCTGAGCTGCCTCTAGACAGATGTAGACCTCTGTCATTCTTGTTAGCAACTGACCACAGCATTTACATTACTCCATCGTTTTGTTGACTGCTGTCAAGTTGGCTCCCGACTCATTGTCATCTAATGGATAATGGAACACAATGCTGCCCGGCCCAGTTTCATCTCCATGGTCAGATGCATATCCTATCACTTGGATTCATAGGGCTTGATTTCTTCCTAGTAAATCTTATTCTGGAAGTTTTACTGAAACCTGTTCAGCAGGACAACAAATTCAAGGCTCCAATGTGAGAGGGGTGTGGCTGTGAATCCTAGTCTAGAAGGTGAGAATTCTACTGTTGTACTTTCTACTGTTGTGCACTTTAGGAATCAGCAAATGCCTTTAGGGGAAGTTGCACTATGAGATTCACTTCACTGCTGTTCACTCTTTTCTGGGAGATTGGTCTTTTCCTTTTCCTCTCTTCCTCCGTCACGGCAGGACTACCACAAGCTCTAGGCTGCTGCTATCTCCTTAGCCTTTGTACTCCGCATCATGAGCTGGCAAATATCCTAATGATAAAACAGCAGAGGCAGCTGCAAACTTACCTCAGTGTGTTCCCCTCAGCCCCAGGGCCCAACCCTGGAAATCCCTGCTGTCTTGACTATTTTCTGGTACCTTCAAACATTTTATGAAGACGTCATAGTTCTTCTCCACCAGAGGTGTTATTCCGATAACTAGCTACTTCATCATAGCCTGCAGCAGCAGTTGGTTTTCCATTTAGCACATTTCATTACATTTACATGGAAATGAGAGAACATGGTCAAATTGACAAAACATTTAAACATTGACAGGGAAATTGGCGTGCTCCTGCACTGCTGGTGAGGAGATACATTGGTACCACCTTTCTGGATGGCATTAATATTTATCAAAACCCTTAACAACTCATTTGCATCTTGACACTGCAATTATAATTCTAAGACTTTACCCTAAGAAGATAATTGTAGATGTATGTGAAGATTTGTTTACAAAGATTGGAATCAAAGTCCTCAATGTACATGATAGAGCATTTGACAAATTGTGCTACTTCAATTCAGTGAGTTAGAGTAGAATTCAACATTATAAATTATGTAAAAGAATATATAAACATGCTAATGATCTGTTGTTAAGTACAATGATAAGATACTGTGAGAGGGTCAACTATGAGTTGATTCTGGCTCAACAGCACATAACAACAATAGCATGTGCAATGTAATTTTATTTAAAATGTGTATAACCAAACAAACAACAGCAAAAAAAACCCTCAAACTTATAGCTGTTCAGTCAGTTTCAACTCATGATGGCCCTCCATCAGGTTTCTGAGGCTGTAATTCTTTACAGAAAGAGACAATCCATTTTTCACACAATTACTGGTTGATTCAACCTCCTGATCTTTTGGTTAACAGCAGAACACCTAATGCACTGTCATCATGGCTCCTTTAAATATATAATATGTATGTTGTTAGACATTGTTGTTAAATACCATTGAGTTGGCTCAAATGTAAAACAATTCAGTATACAACAAAACAAAACATTTCCTGCTCCTGTGCCATCCTCAAAACTTTTGCTATGTTTGAGACCATTGCTATAGCCTCTATATCAATCTATCCCACAGAAAGTCTTCCTCTTTTTCTATGACCTTCTACTTTGCCAAGCTTGATGTTTTTCTCCTGTGACTACCTCTCCTGATAACATGTCCTGAGTACATAACATTGCCATCCTCATTTCTAAGGAGCATTCTGGCCATATTTCTTCAAAGACACATTTGCTAGCTCTTCTCATAGTCCATGGCATATTCAATGTATAAATATGTTGGTTTTTAGGTGAGGATCTTCCTCTATTTTTACAAGCATGATGTTTCCCTTCTTCTCCCAAAATACCCAAAGTATGTAAGATGAAGCTTTTTCATCACTGCCTCAAAGGAGCACTGTGGATGTCCTTTCTCCAAGATCTCTGTTTGTTCTTTTGGCAGTCCACGGGATATTCAGTACTCTTTTCCAATACCACATAGATTTCTCTTCTATAAGCCTTTGTCATTACCCAGCTCTCAGATACATACCGAGTGATTGCAAAGATTATGGCCTGAATCAGACCACTTGCTATTGAGTTGAGACTCATTTGTTCAATTCTAACAGAGATTTTACTTGTTTCTGGCAGTATGTCCCAAAGTCTTTTCAGTAAGGAAGTCTTACAGAAAAGTAAGTTTTATTGAAAAGTAAAATAAAAGTTTTTAAAGAATAAGAAAAAGTAAGTTTTACTTATTTAAAAAAATAGCTTCACTGTGAAAACCTTTTGATACTAGTGGCTAGAGTTTAATGAGATTGCTTTTGCAAAACTTAAATCAGTATTTCTGAATATTCTTTTCTGTTGCTGTGTTTTTCTTGAAGTTACAATCAAGACATCAATCATCAGCTATGACTGCTCGCGTTTCCAGGCTCCTTCCTGGGAAGGCTCGTTCCTTGGTTACATCATCAAACAACCGGAGAGCAGAGGATTGCCATCAGCGGCACCAAGAGGCCTATGGTTACTTCTTACCCATCCAGACAAGATGGCAGGACAATGACCAGTATGGTCACGTGAACAACGTTGTGTATTACAGCTACTTCGACACTATTATCAATCACTACCTGATCAGGTATGTCTGACTTCTACCACTCCAGACTCTTGCTTTGTCCTCTTGGCCTGCCTTTGCTCCAGAGTCATCCATACAGGGCATCCCAGGAAGATATCTCCCCTTCCTCTTTTTTGTTTAAAGCAATCTGAAAACCTAATTGTTCCACAGAAGAGGACTGATGTGTAAGCTAAGGCCATATTACAGTGTGTCTTCCACAATCTCAATCTACTGTTTGTCTTGGTCCTTTGTACTGAATAGAAAGCAAATGTGCAGACTTTGACTCTCATAAGTACCTACACAACAAACCACATACTGTTCAGGTGAACTTGAACTGATAGAAGAATCTTTAGTCCTTAAAAAGGTCTTTTAAAAGAATAAGCCGCTTCTTCCCAACATAGGACATATAGAGGGGAGAAGAAAGAGAGTAGGAGGTAAAGAAAACATTTATTATGCTCTCTGGATTTGGTCATGACAAGATTGCTATCTCATAGGTGTGCCTCCAAGACTGGTTAGCATTTCTTCGGTTAGGGTAATGCTCTTTATGAAGATTGTGTCTAATGGAAACCAGTTGCTGTTGGATCAGCTGTGTTGCTGTTGTGTACCATCACAGCTCTAGTTCACAGCAAACCCCCATGTGGTAAAGTTGGTAGGTGCTGTTGAGTCAACTATAATCCATAACAACCGTATGGCCAACAGAGCTGAACCTTGTCTCATCCTGATACACCCTCTCAAGTGCTGATATTGTTATAGTCACTGTGTAGTCCATCTTATTGAGAGTCTTCCTCTCTTTCTCTGACTCTCTACCTTTCCAATCATAATGTGTTTTTCCAAAGACTGGCCCCTCCTGAAAGCATACCCAGAATACCAAAAACAAAGTGTTGCCACCTTTGTCTCTAAGGAGCACCCTGGTTGCACTTCTAAGACTTATTTGTTCTATTGACTGTTCATAAGATACACAATACTCTTCTCCAACAGCACAATTCAAAGGCTTTGATTCTTCTTCCGTCATCCTTGTTCATTGTCCAATGTTCAGATGCCTAGGAAGCAGTTTTAAAGAGAGTCATGCAAACCCTAACTCCACTCAATATTGACTGTGCAGTTTGGTCAAATTACTTAACTTATTGAGTAAACATAAATCAATATACAGAGAACTTTCACTGTTGTCTAGCTGTGAGATATTATGTTGTTGTGATATTAGGTGCTGTTGAGTACAACTTATAATGACTCTCGGAACAAAAGATCTGAATCCTGTTCTATCCTGTGTCATTCTCACACTTCCTGACGCACAAGATTCCATTGAAGCAGTCACCCTGTCAATCACCTATTGAGGGTCTTCCTCTCCTTCACCAACCCTCCACATTTCCCAACATCATGTCCTTCTCCAAGGAATAGCCTCTCCTAGCAACATGCCCAAAGTATGTGAGACAAAGTCTCCAAAGAACACTCTGGTTGCACCCTCTCCAAGACATATATGTTTGTTCTCTTGGCTGTCCATGGGATGTTCAGTGCTCTTCTCCAACACCACAGATCAAAGGAGTCAATTCTTTTTTGGTCATCCTTCTTCATTGTCCAGCTCTCAGATGCATAGCAAGTAATAAGACCGTGGCCTGGATCAGATGCACTTAGTCCTCAAAACTGACATCATTGTTATTGTTATTGTTGTTAAGTGCCATCGAGTCTCAGGAGACTCATAGAGACCCTATGAAGGAGAGCCCTCAACACTTGTGTGTCTCTCATCCTCTATCCAGGTTCATAGAGTTTCCTGAGGCAAGCTATTATGGAAGTGGATGCTGCTCCTGCTTCCAAGCTTGTTTTAATCATGGAGTTTTACCCAACACTGTCCACCATGAGTAACCAAGCATTAACACATTTGACACATCAGTGTCACAGTGTTCAGCCTCACAGCAACCACAAGTTAGCACTGTATGGCATGTAGACAGACCAGGGCTATACGACCTAGAAGAATGTTTGAATAAAAACAATGAAAAACAGGCCTGAGGGCCGCGGATTAAAAGTCACCCACCTTTGGCTTGGTAGCATCACTTTCAGTCCACTGGACCAGCTGATCACTCTCTATGTTGATGTTGTTCTTAAGTGCTGTTGAGTCTGTTAATTGAAATAAGTCAATTGATATTCTATTGATTCCTGGGGCCTTATTTTTTTGCCAGTGCCTTCAATGCAGCTTCTACTTCCTTCTTCATTACCACTGGCTCTTGTTCAAATAATACTTCCTGAAATTTTTTAGTGTCTATGTATTCCCTCCATTTGCATTTGATGCTTTCTGGGTCATTCAATATATTGCCTTTAGCATCTTATTCCAACACCTCAGAGAGAATAGCAGAGGTTGTCAGTGGACTGCCTGAACCTCCTTGTCCTTCCAGCGCACACTGGCCTGGTCATCTACCAGCACCAATGTTTCTCTGACTTGAGACTTTCTGATCAAATGTTTTGGCACTAGAATCCCTTTATCAGATAGGTCAAAAGTACTGAGGAATTAATCTCTCTTGATGTAGCCCTTCACTGATGGGAATTAGTGTATTAATATCCAAGCTTCTTCAATTCTATATACCTAGTGATACTGTAACAGAAATATAGGTGGATGGCTTTAGCAAACAGAAATTTTAATTAAAAACTGCTGGCTGTTCTTTTTTGGTGGTAGCGGATGGGTCACTCTGATCTCTGCTTGCCTTCCCTTTTACTATCTCAAAAGAGATTGACTTCAGATACAACTTAATTTTGTTGATTGTATCTTGCCTTCACATATCTACCTTATCTTGCCTTAACATGACTACCTCTATTCTTGCCTCATTAACATCATAGAGATTAGGATTTACATTCAGATGTAATTATTTAATTAGAATGTAATTAACACAAAATGGAGGATAATCGCATAATATGAGGAATAACAACTTAGCCAAGTTGACACATATTTTGGGGGACACAATCCAATCTGTAACACACACTTCAGTTTGAGATAACTCTGAGGTGGATATTTGTACTGATGACCAGACTTCCACAACGGCTAAGTTTTAGTTAGCCAACATGTTAACATTTTGTCTTTATTGAGATAACGTTCATATAACATAAAATTCACAATATTAAGTATTTAATGTATCCAGTTTTACAGATTTTAGGATATCCTCAGTTTTAGGAACCATCTGCCATTTTAAAACATTTTTGTTACCCCCTAAAAGAAACTATATCTGTTAGCATCGTTTTGAAGCTCTAGTGGCAAGAAGCTGCATTGCAATCTCGAAGGGACGAAATTTGAAGCCACCAGCTGCTCTGTGAGAGAAGGATGGGCAATCTCCTCCTGAAAACCCGCCAGAAGGTCAGCTATGGGTCAGTTCCAACTCTGTGGCACACAACAACAACCACCCCACTCTCTAAAGTGCAAGCCAGATTCACTGCTGTTCTGGTTCTTAACAACCATCCATCAGGTTTCTGAGGCTGTGGAGGATGGACGAAAGAGATGAAGACCCTCAACCAGATGGGTTGACACAGTGATTGCTGCAGTGGGTTCTAGTGTGTCAGAAATTGTGAGGATGGTGCAGGATAGGACAGGATTCAGATATGTTGTTCAAAGGGTCACTGTGGGTTGTACTCGACGGCACACTACAACAAATTTTTATAGGAGGAAATTATACAACTTTCTCCCAATGGCTGGTGGTGGATCAGAACTGCTTACCTTCCATTAGGAGCCCTACCCTCTGGTAACCACTAATTTTCCTTTGTCTCTGTAGATTTGCCCATACTTCATGTATATTAAATCATTTACTATATGGCCTTTTAGGTCTAACTTAATGCTTTTAAAATTCATTTATGTTTGTAGCATGTGTCAGTGCTTCATTTCTCCTTATGGGTGGAATGATATTCCATTATATGGACACACACACATATATGTATAAATATATACGTGTGTGTGTGTAATCTTGTTGCTTCATTCATCCGTTAATAGCTATTTGCGTTATTTCCATTTCCGGCTGTTATGAATACTGCTGCTAGAAACATTATGTATATATTTTAGTGTGAATGTATGTCTTCAATCCTTTTAAGCATGCACCTAGAATGGAATGCTAGGTCATGGGGAAATTATAATGTTTTGAGAAACTGCAAAACACTGTCTGTATAATTTTACATTTTCCCTTGCAATGTATGAGAGTTCCATTTTTCCAGATTCTTGGCAACACTTATTTTTACCTATCTTTTAAAATATAGACACCTAGTGTATGTATGAAGTGTTATCTCTTTATGGTTTTGATTTGCATTTCCCTGATAATGAGATGGAGTGAGCCATCTTTGAAATGCCTTTTGTATATTTTCCTGAGAAGAACATTTATTTAGTGTCTTGATGGACTTTTGGTGTTGGTGTTGGTATGTGATGTCAAGTCAGGACCAAATCAAGCTCAATCTACAGCAGGTTTTCAGAGGCAGCAAATCCCACAGGAGGAGATGGCTTATCTTGCCCTACAGAATGGCTAGTGGATTCAAACCTCTTGCCTTTCAACTGGCAGCACAACTTCTTACCACTAAGCCACCAGAGTTCCATCACTTTTAATTGTGTTGCCTTTTAATTGTTTAATTTTGGGCACTATTAAGGTACCCAATTAGTGGAGTTGATTCTGACTCATAATGACCTGCTATTTGATTTCCTAAAGGGAACTCTGGTGGCCTAGTGGGTAAGAATTTGTGCTCCCAACCCAAATGTAAGAGGTTCAATTCTACCAGCTGCTCTGTGGAGTAAAGATGGGCAATCTCCTTCTGTGTGATTCACAACTTCTGAAAATCTATTAAAGAGTCAGCTCTGAGTCAGTTCTAACTTGACAATAAGGAAGATTGAATTTCCTAGATGGTTATTGTTCCTGGAGGAGACTTCCTATCTTCCTTTGAGGGCTGGTAGATTCAAACTGCCAACCATTCTGCTAGCAGTCCAACATCTAATGCACTATCCCACCCCAGCTAGGCTCTTATCACATGTGTGATTTGCATTTCCTCTTGTTCTGTTGGTTGCCTTTTCACTA